TGTATACTCGTCTTCAGTAGTTAAAGGGTTAATGAGGGAATTGTGTGTACGGTATTGCCTCGACCTCCCCTAAGCGCTATTTTCTTCATAACAATTTTTTCTATTTTCATTTTATTTCAGAGCATCGCGGGCCACAAAAAATTACCTCGAGGGCCGCATGCGGCCCGCGGGCTGCCAGTTTGACACCCCTGCTCTATTCAGATACACTTTTTCTTCTTAAAATACCTCTCTTCATTCCTTCCTATCAAATTTCAAGAAATCTTTCCTGTTCATTCCACATTTATCTACTTCCTCCGACATTTTTAGAGCTCTCCTTGTCTGGATATATATTTTTAAACTATCAGATGCGAAGATGGACAAGGACTCCACAGGCTAACAAATTCTGCCAGGGACTAGAAGTGTGACTTTACTTAGTGAGCTAATTTTTGTGAGTCTGCTTATCTGTAAAACTGGTTGGATATCACCCATTTCACATGGATTACTCTAAAGAATAAGATATATGTAAAGTCCCCCTACCATACTGCATAGCACAGAGTGTCCAATTGATGTTTGCTCCCTTATACCATCTATAAATTACTCTGTGACAAGGTTTCTTATCTTCCCAACCAGATGAAGTTACTTGAGGGTAGAAATGTACATCTTTTTCAATCAGCATATCAGCTTTGTAGCAACCAGCAAAGCACTAGGAGAGTTTAAACTTTTGATAAGCAGACCAATATATAAATATTGGATTAAAAAAAATTCCTGTGCTGGTCTACTTTATCCCAGGTAGAAACCAGTAAATCTCTTATGATGGAAATTTATAAAGTCACTCACCCCAAATTTGATGTTTAATAAGTGTGAAGCTATATGCTGGGACAACTGTTGACTACTAACATAAAGATTAAAATTTGCAGTATATAATAAAGGAAAACCCATTTATTCATGAATATGTAGCAAGGCTGAATTAAAAAAATTTTGGGGGCGGCCGGTTAGCTCAGTTGGTTAGAGCTCAGTGCTCACAACACCAAGGTTGCCGGTTCAATCCCCACATAGGCCACTGAGCTGTGCCCTCCACAGCTAGAATGAAACAACTACTTGACTTGGAGCTGATGGGTCCTGGAAAAACACACTGTTGCCCAACTTAAAAAAAAAAAAGAAATTGGAGGAATTTTACTTAAAAAAAAAAAAGATATTCATCATTCTACTTGTGATCATTACTGTGACAGAAATAAAAGAATAATAATAAAAAGATATGAAACACATTAAACACTACCTTTAAAAAACATATGCCCACAATGAACACTTAGGTAACATTAGGTAAATATATATATTTTCAGGTAAGTTAGGTAAATAAGCACACACTCATAGAAACACAGACACACCGTTATGTGCTAAAAAAAAATAAATAAAAGGAGCTAAGGGCTATACGAGTTTAAAGGACATGAGAGATTAACGTGATGTGGGCTGTAAGGATCAGGAGTGGCAGCTTTTATCTAGATTTTCAAGAACAGGCCCAGGACGGTGAGGAAGCGGCCCTGACTCAGTCAGCATATTTGAACTGGGGGGGGGGGGGGAGAATGACAGCCATTTGTAATCTCCTTATCGTCTATAATAGAGAACACAATGATGCCTGGCGCATTACAAGTGCTCACTTATTATGAGTGAATGAATGGAAAGTAAGTTGACTCCAGACCAGATCTTATCTTATCTTGTAGTCAGAGGTTTTAAAAGTTTTTCAGCAGACGGATGCTGTGATGAAAGTGGCATTTTGTAATAGTTGATCTAGCAGTAGCGAAGTCTCCCAAAGTAGCTACTCAGGAAACCACTGCAATTGATGATATCCTCTTATTCTTCTTTTCATTTCCCTTAACGTTTGTGTTTCTGTTCATATGTATTTACTTAATTTCGTAATGTCTTGGAAACAGTAATTGCTTCTGATATGGAATGAGATACACTGTGCCGACTCAACAAAAACTAATCACAGGAAAAACACATACGAGGTATAATCAACAAATACGGTGAATGTTTAAATTTAAAAATTTATTACAATAAAAGACACATTGCCATTAATCCCCCTCAAAATACTCCCCTCGCTTCGAACACACTTATTCCATCATTCTGGTCACTTTCTGGAGCAATTCTGGAAGTCCTCTTTCATGAGTGTCATGAGTTGCGCTGTTGTGGCCTCAATATCCTGAATCATTCTAACTTTGGGGAAGAGCCAGAAGTCGCATGGCGCCAGTTTCGGTGAATAAGGTGGATAAGGACACACTGTAATGTTTTTATTTGACAGAAATTGCTGTTCTAGAAGCAATGTGTGACACAGAACCTTTCTGCTGTGATCACAAAATATGGTGAATGCTGCTGCGGAGTGCCATCCAATGGAAAGGCAGGAATCTTCAATACAGGAAGTGGCGCGTTGAACCTTAGTAACAGTGTGTGACAAGTTTCAACTTGTTTGGTGCAGTCAGTCAGGTGTGAGCTACGGTTGAGAGGTGTGTTTTAGTGTGCCCTAAATCATTCTCCATTGTGACAACAGTCCGTGTCACACATCACTTCTGGTATAGGGCAATTTCTGTCAAATAAAAACATTAGTGTGTCCTCATCCACCTTATTCGCCGGATCTGGGACCGTGCGACTTCCGGCTCTTCCCCCAAGTCAAAATGACCATGAAAGGTAAATGTTTTGAATCGACTTAGGACGTCGAGGCAGCCACGACAGCGCAACTAAAGACACTCACAAAAGAGGACTTCCAGAACTGCTTCAGAAAGTGGCAAGAATGATGGGATAAATGTGTTCGAAGCGAGGGGGGGTATTTTGAAGGGAGTTAATGGCAATGTCTTTTACTGTAATAAATTTTTTAAAATTTAAACATTTACTATATTGTTTGATCACACCTAGTATTAAAAGCTTTGCAATGTAATCTGTATCTGAGATGACTTCTTAACAGTGCTCGATATCTGATGACATAGAAGGTGCCCCCAAAGAAGCTATCCTTGCCTATGGGATAAAACCACTTCTTCGTAAGACTAGTGTTGCTTTTAGATACCTGACAGTGCTTCCCCCCGTTGTAACACCTCTTCAATGTTGGCCACCATGATCCTCTGGACGTCTTGCAATTCAGTGTTGATGGAGCCTAGGTTTCTCCGAGCGCGACTGTCAATGTAGAGCTTCTTGGTTTTCTGGATGTAGGTATCTAGAAGGATGAAGAAAACAACCATTAACTTCTTTCATGTCCATCAAAGGACTGAAGTAGGGAACAGGGAGTTCTGAGTTTGGTCCTGGATCGCAACTATTCATGGTTAACCATGCTCCTGAATGAGTAGAGTATCAAGATTTGACTTTTGATTTCTTCACTTGTAAAATGTAAAGATATAATTAGATGACCATTCAGGAGAAATGTCTTTTGCACACCTTCGAATTAGTGCTATCAGGATCCTTAGAGAAATAAGACCCACTACAACAAGCCTTTCCTGAAAGCAGAAATTTTCAAACTGTACTCCTTGGACCCTTAGGGTTTCAGTAACTCTACATATTCTCTGAAAACGATGCTGGCAACAATCTAGCATTTCTATAGCCTAATATGGCAAAACAGTCACTCTCATAAAGTTGAAAAAATTGTCTTCAAGTGTTTTCTTTAACATACATTCCCAATTTCACTCTGTTCATAAACTTCAGGTAAAGCAAACATGTGATAGGAAATTTCCCCAAGTACCACTATAAAACCGCACTCTCCTTCATGTTTAGCCCATGTCTGTATTTCTCAGAACTATAAGAAGAATGACTTATTATTAAATATTGCATTCTTAACGTATGGAAAAAATCTAAAGTTACGTGTGCAGGACACCCTTCATTTGCCTCTTTAGGTCTCCTCGGCACCCTTCTGCACCCTGCTTTTGCCCTGGGAAGCTGACCTGCGTGGATTACATCAGTGGGCTCCTTGCCCTTTGGCGTCCAGTTAGGTTCTGTCAACGGGGGAGCAGTTGTAGGAAAGAGTAGGAAAGAAGAGAGTAGGAAAGAAGAGAGAACAGTGAAGCAGGGGGTTTGTTCCCCTAACTTCTCCCAGAGAAGTCACTTTGGGCTGGCAGTATCCCTCCCTAAAAGTTACGGCTTAAGTTGGCCTTCCCCGTGCCAGCCCTGCTCCTTTCTCTCATCCTCTAAGGCCTAGGGTGGTAACAATTACCGTGTTACGGTCTCAGTGCCTGTGGTTCACCTATAACCTGTTCATATCTTTGTATGTAATCCTTTAAGCTAACTTGAGTGTACCAGCTATTTCGTGTGTGACCTTTGACAATAGTCTAATTTTTTTCTTGGGTTTACTGGACCACTATTGTTTACAAAGTAAAAATTGAAAAACCATACACTAAAAAATTGAGCACTTGGAGAGTTCACAGTTATGCAACACTGGAGTGTTTTGCTATATTTTCTTTATTTCTAAAAAGCGAGATGACTTACTTATCTGGCAAACTTGAAACACTTCAGAAAATTCAGAGATAGTGAAAACTAATTTCTTCTTTTACCTAACAATGTCAGTGATGTAGTCTGATCATTCTTGTTCTCACTTCCTGTACTTACCGTACTGAGGGCATTTCCTTTGCTCTATTGCCATTAGATACTTCAACAGGTCTGACCAGTGATGTGTCTTTCTATAATTGTACAAATATGGACACCATGCTCTGCATGTAGTAAATGTCATCCCCCAATACCATATATCTTTTAGTACTTAAAAAAAAATATTAAAGAACCTTATTCTCCTAAAAGAAACAAAATACCATTCTTTCTTATTTCCAAATAATGAGCCTTACTGTGAGTGTGTGTGGGGGGGGGGGTAAAGGAGGGGTGGGGGCGGTGGTATGTGTGTGCGTGTTGGGGAATAGAAGAACTCAGTTATTACATGCCAATCAAGCAGCTCTTTAGACACAGTTCTTGACCCTAATGGAGAATCAAAACAAATAACAGAAAAGGGCAAAGGGCAATAAGTTCTATGGGGAAAAGGTCAAAGGACTAGAGAAAGAAGCCTCATTCATTCAAAAGGACAAAATGAGGGCCGGCCAAGTGGCTTGTTGGTTAGGAGTTGGCTAGGGAGTGCGAGCTCTGAGCAGCAGGGCTGCCGGTTCAGATCCCACATAAGCCAGTGACACTGCGCCCTCTACAGCTAAGATGGTGAACAACAGCTCGTCCTGGAGCTGGGATGCCGAGAGTTGCCAGCGACAGCGCAGGCTGCAGTGGGGCTGTCCGGCAGCGGGCGTGAGCTGCCGTGAGCCGCAGTGAGCGGCCGTCCAATGGCCAGTGACCGACTTCCTCAGCCGGGAAGAGCACAATGATCACAATACCAACATGGGCCAGTGAAGCAATGTCTTCCACAACTAGACTGAAGAGGAAAAGGACAGCAACTTGTCTGTTCCCCTTCCCGGATTCCCCAACACTGTTCCCTCCCCCAATTCCCCAATAAAATCTTAAAAAAAAAAAAAGGACAAAATGAGATGGAATGGAAGAGGCAGACTTCAAAACTTCAGTAAGTAAACATCAGTGAAATTGTGTCAAAATTTTATCAGTGTTAACAAATAGTTTCTCCATATTTTTTGCTTCTTTGATAGAGAGATGAGGAGCAAAAACTTACCAAACTCAATAAAGGAATAGGGTCTAGACACAGTGGGCACCTTCTTCCCATGCTGTTCATCAAACTCTGAATGTAAATCCTCTAGGTAGGCAAAAGCCAACTTCTTAGGGAAGGCAGCTTCACACAAAACCAAATAACACACCCCTTGCTCAATAATGTAGCTGGAGAGACAAAAAAGCAAGAAAAAGCTGTAGTGTAACGATACCTCCAACAACATGAAGCAGATGCTTGAGGTGGCATACAAACTTTTGAAAACATTCCAACCTAAGCCCTTTGAGGCTAACTGAATCAGAAAGCCAATTTCAAACCACAAATCCTTGGAGCCAAAAAGCAAATCTCTTCCCATTATTAGGCATCCATTCCAAAAGGAGTATTTAGACATGTTTATTATAATTGTTTATTCATTACATAATTCTTCAACTAAAATATCTTAATGCCTAAGGCTTTTTCTTGAACACCCCACCCATCCTTTGATTATGTATGATAAACTAGTATACACATATTTAAACTCCTTCCAGCTGTAAGAAAAACAGTGAAACTGAAAATTTTTGTGGATACCCGACAGTTGGAAAGTTAATGCCACAATATTTACTGGGCACAGAAAAGAATGACCTCCGGACTAGTAACATTCCCTAATTTCTAGGGCAGAAGAACTCTGAATCAACTGGACACTATCCAGTTACAAAGCCGACTTCCTCTTGTGAGAGTGACTACATGTCTGAAATATTCTTGGAAAGAGGTTAGGCTACGCAGTGGTTTTCAAATGTCTTTTTAGCCACAGTACTCTAGTTCAGCAACAATTACCTTCAGAACAATCAATATAAACAGCAAATAAAATCAGTTCTCTCGTTTAAGTAGGAGTTTAAGGACCCAAAGCGTTACACATACTGTCGCCTCGCAGCTGCCTTCGAATGCTCCTGCGCACTGATCCTTTGAAGTCATAAGGGAGTGTCTTGGAATGCTATAAGACCCAAGGGAATGATCTCGGTAAAGCTTCCTTATCCCGTCCCTGCCCTTTCTATGTGCCTCCTGAGGTATCCTAGGACTCCACAGTATTGCTTAGAATCTATTATTTGATCTCTCAGGCCCTTTTAAACAACAATGATGATGATGATGGTGGTGAAAATAACGCTGTTGCCCTATCTCCTCTTTGCACACCTGAATTAACTGGTCTCCCTGCCTTCAGTCTAGACCATCTTCTAAACCACCAGTTTTATTCCTAAAATGTAAATACAACCATATTACTCTGCTTAAAAACTCTAGGCGTTGCCTAATAACTATAAAACAAACCACACTCCTTGGTATTGCATTTGTATAGCCCTCCAAGACAAGTGTAGGCCGCATTCCATCATATATCCCAACACAACAATGACATGCCGTTCTCCCACAAGCTAGGGAGTTCACGTCCTCTTGAACTTCTACTTATATTGTATTTTTCTAACTGTAATACTCTTTGATGTACCTGGGGAAACCTCATTAATTGTCATATACTTGATTCCACTACAATTTTTTTCTGTGAAATTTCTCTGTATTCTCCCTCCCTCTATCCTCTTTCCTCAAACTGACTCCCTACAACAGGGAATGTACTGCTTCCTTCTCTCTGTTCCCAAAGCATTTCATTTATATCCCAATGATGGCACTTCTTGCCCTAAGGTATTATAGTATAGTTGTTTGCATATGTGTTTCTCTGCTAATGAGAGGATGAGCTCATTAAAAGCTATGGACATTAAAGGCAGGGCTTAATACAAGGTCTGGTAGAGAATAAATCTTTAAGAGATTAACTCTTGGATGGAAATAAAGGATGAAATAAGATTATAAAGGTCCCAAAGGAATCAAGCAGAAGAAAACCTCTTTTCAATTCCTTGAGAACTTTCCTAGGTCTTTTGCTCCTAACCCGTGGTAGAGATAAAGATACTACATAATTAAGTGCCTATAAATTTTTTGATGTTAAAAATTAGATTTATAATGTTTCATATACTACACAAATTACTATCTTATGAAACTTAATATCCACTACTTTCTTAACCAATTGGCCAAGGTTTTTGTTTTGGTTTTATATACTTGTTTTTTATGGGTGGAGGTTTCTTTTTTCCCCTTTTAAGTTAAACAGAGCAGGTTGCTCCCAGGTCTGTATTATCTTAGTATCTGAGTTCCTAAAATAGCAAGGTTATTCAGCTCATCCTTTTCTAATTTCCCTCTGATCTTCTTGTCCTTTCTCTTTTTTTTACAGCCTTCAAACTCAACATGTATTAAACATAAATACCAATTATCTGTGGATGATTTGAAACCATTAAGTCTCTCTGATCTCTCTCTCAGCTGGATGCATTATCTATAACCACTGACTGAGAAGCTCTTAAGTGATCTTTGATAATTTCCTTTCTTTCTAAATAATAAGTAACACTTATTGATTCTTCTCTATGTGCCAGGCAAGAGATATACATGGATTCCCTCACGATCCTCACAAAACTATGATTATTGTCCCTATCTTGTAGAGGAAACTGAGGCCCGAAGGGGAACATGTGAGTTGTTCAAGGTTATGTTGTTAGTAAATGTTTGAGCACGTGTATTAACCTACACGTGTCTGGCTCCAAGAAGCTCCTAAAGCAAAAAGTTATCTGTCATTGCATGATGGGTACAGCATTTACTAGACATAGGGTATCAGGTTAAATTATTGTATGCAAATTGAATAAACACATCAAGATTTTAGTTTTGCAGAATTAGGGCCAGGGAAGTTATTTCCCTTAAAGGTATATTTACTTTTAAAAAACTGTTACCATTCTCATTAGGTGTTACTTACATTTACTGTATTTCATACTTAAATGATCACAAAGATATCAGGATTATACTCACTGAAAAGTCATGGCGCCAGCTTCCAAGGTACATCTGGTCGGGGACTGTTCATTCAGCTTTCGGAACAGTTGCTTAGCCTGACTCTGGTACTGCTGCAGGTCGCGGCCAGACTGAAAGAAGACACCTTCCCTTAAGAATTTTGCACGAAAATAACACTGCATGAATTAGTGAGAAGCATCAGATTATGAGGACACTATGTGAATAAGATCCTTCATTTATAGGTAAGATTCATTTAAACAAACAAGGCCTACTTTTAGAACAAAAAGGAAGGAAAAACTCCTAGTTCTTTAAGAAAATCACATTAATTTGCTAAGAAGCAAAAGTGTACTTTAACTGTCAATCCAGTGTCTTTCTATTGGGTTGTCGGAAAAGTCATGACGTATTTTTGCAACGAAAAACATAGAAAAAATATGTCATGACTTTTTCGACAACCCAATACTATTAGGTCAGTGCCTCCTCTTAAGCCATTTCGTTTGCATAGCACCTGGCACAAAACTAGGCATGTTCTATATTCAGGGGAAAACCCTGGAAACAAGTGATCAACCTCATTGCTATGCTGGAATATCAAGCAAAATCTTCCACAAAGTGTTACAGTATTGAGCATTTCGGCAAAACTAAATGTGTGCACCGTGACTGCAAATCATTATGAACACTGTACCTGCAACTAGGTAAAAATGAACAAGAGTAAGGACAAAGATTGGAAAGTCAAGATATCCTCTACTGAATAAATCTACTTGGTTCCCAAGTTTGGATAGCAAAAGTTTGGGTAGGAAGAAGATATGTGCACACAAAAATGAAAATAATAATATTCAGATATTAGAATAAAAGGTAATATTTCCCTGAACAATTTATAAATGATTCCACAATTTTGTTTTTTAAAAAAGGGAAACGTCGGGGTAGCCGGTTAGCTCAGTTAGAGTGCAGTGCTCAGAACACCAAGGTTGCCGGTTCGATCCCCACATGGGCCACTGAGTCTGTGCCCTCCACAACTAGATTGAAACAACTACTTGACTTGGAGCTGATGGGTCCTGGAAAAACACTGTTTGCTCCCCAATAAAAAAGAAAATTAAAAGAGAAAAGTACCTTAAAAAATTTATTTAAAAAAAAGGGAAACGTCTACTGGGGGAAATAACAGTGTCCTTAAAAGGAGAAGAACCATACCTCACTCACCTACTAGACCCAAGAGGGAGAAGAGGCACATGAAGAATGGGAAGTAAATATACGTTATTTATTCATCTACATACTGGGGGGAGGGACCTTTTGCCATATGATGGGAAGGAATTATTTTATTTTTGGATTATTTATTTTGGTTCGAATGACAGAACCTAGTCTCTCCTTGATAGATGTCTAATACCTACATGTTTAAATAGAGAAGTGTTTATACAAGGTTTGCCCAGGGACTGGACCTGAGATCTAACTTTGAGAAAGTACAAAGTGAAACCTTAAAATTCTAGATAGTGAACCGCTGAGCTAAGGCTAAAGACCAGGAAACAGTAATAAAATTGTGTAAGTGACAGATAAGCAATGTACAAATAGAGGTTTCTAAGCTGTATTTAAAATGGGGAACTGGAAGGGCACACCAAAACCACAGTGGGATACCACCTCATACCTGTCAGAATGGCTGTTATCAAAAAGACAAGAAATAACAAGTGTTGGCTGGGATGTGGAAGAAAAGAAACCCTTTCTTCCCCCCTACTGTAGGTGGGAATGTAAATCAGTAAAGCCACTATAGAGGTTCCTCAAAAAATTAAAAAATAGAGCTACCATATGATCCAGCAATTCCACTTCTGGGTACTTATCGGAAGAAAACAAAAACAGTAATTTGCAAAGATATATGCACTCCTATATTCATTGCAGCATTATTTACAATAGCCAAGATATGGAAACAATCTAAGTGTCCATCAGTGGATGAATGGATAAAGATGTGGTGTATGTATACAATGGAATACAGCTATTAAAAAAACAGAATCTCACCATTTGCAACATCATGAATGGAACTTTGAAGGCACTACACTAAGTGAAATAAGCCAGAGAGACAAATACCATTTGACCTCACTTACGTGTGAAATCTAAAAAAACAAAAAAAAACCAAGCTCAAAGACACAGTGAACAGATTGTGGGGGTGGGGGGTTGGGGGTGGGGTGAAATGGGTAAATGTGGTCAAAAGGTACAAACTTCCAGTTATTAAATAAATAAGTCATGGGGATATAAATGTACAGCATGGTGACTATAGTTAATAATACTGTATTACATATTTGGAGGTTGCTACGAGAGTGAATTTTAAATGTCATTACAAGAAAAAAAAGAACTTGTAACTATGTATGGTGATGGATGGTAATTATACTTATGTTATTGACCCTTTCACAGTATATACAAATACTGAATCATTATGTTGTACACCTAAAGCTAATAGGTCAACTTTATCTCAATAAAAAATAACTAAAATAAAAATAAAATAGTAAACTTAAAATATAAATATGAATAATGAAATAAGTATGAGGTGAACCAGGGGAGTTAGAGACCATTAGAAGTGTCAATTTGTACACTTATCTCACTTAGCACTGTCCTTACAGCAATGATTTGTTATAATGTGCTCATTTGAGAAATATTTCTATAACACATATACATATATCTGTGCATGTATATATGTACACATACAGTTTTTTTATATATTAACAATGCTTTAAAATAATTAACATAATATATTACCACTATCATATTAAATGATGTTGCTTATATATGTATTTTTTTCATGACTGGTCAGCCAGTAAAGGAGAGAGAATCCTATCACATGCTTTGAACTAGTGCACAATATCCCACGTTCCTAAATGTGAATGGTACTTGCCAATCTGTTTGCTTCACCATGCCATTAGGTGGCGTTTGGAAGAGGTCTGACCCCACAACAACAGATAAAAGGAATGCAAATAAAGTTGGAAATGCTACTAAAAGTGCCAAGAAATAATATCAACATAAGATTAATGATTTTTCAACCTTGGCTTCACACTAGAATCATCTGGAGATCTTAAAAAAACAAAAAAAACAACAAAAAAGACTCATGCCCAATGTCCACTCTCAAACCAATTAAATCAGTATCATGCACATGGAACTCATACATTGCCATTTTTAAAATAACCGCAACCACCGATGTTAAGTATAAGTTTTCTGACAGCTAAAGGCAGGTAAGCACCTTAAAGTTTACTTTATATTTGAGAAGACAAACTTGCCCAAGAATGTGAGGCCATGAAGGAAGGCAGCTAGGATATGAACCCAAGCAGCCTGGCTCTGTCTGGAGCCCTGCGCCTAAGCATGCTGTACCAGCTCTGCAAGAAAACTGCTTCAGGGCCAGCCAAGTGGCGCGGTGGTTAAGAGCTGGCTTGGGACACGAGAGGGCCCCGGTTCGGATCCCACATATGAGGGCCAGTGACACTGCTCTCTACAGCTAAGATGCTGAACAACAGCTCAACCTGGAGCTGGGCTGCTGTGAGTCGCCCGGGAGGGCGTAGGCTGCAGCCCCTGCTGCAGCAGGTTGCCGTGGGCTACCGTGTGTAGCCAGCAGCCACCGTGAATGGCCATCCAGAAGCCGGTGACTGATCTGCCTCACGGGGATGAGTGCAATGATGGTGCCAACTTGGGCCAGTGAAGCAACATCCCCCACAACTAGACTGAAGAACAAAAGGACAGCAACTTGTCTGCTTCCCTTCCCCCAATTCCCCAGCGCTATTCCCATCCCCCAATTCCCCAATAAAAAAAATCTTTAAAAAAAAAGAAAACTGCTTCAGTGCTGGCAGGTCCACCTTCGAGGTGTGTCTTACCAGTCACATTAAATCTAATTCACAGGAAATACTCCTGAAACCATGTGGCAGCACTGATCTAGAGCTCACAAAACAGCATAATCACTGCTTTACAGATAAACCCTCCGTGTGCTTTCACAATTAAAGTCACAAAGGATCCACGGTCAGCCAGTCTACCCAAAAATAGCTAGATAAGATGTCCTAATTCTGTTTCCTACTTCATCCAGAACAGGCTTGAACCTTGTATACACTATAATGGAACGATACCTGTTAGTATTCCAATAATGAGGAGGATGGGAATGTCTGGACAAATTAACTTAATGAAATAAAATGAATTTGAGGTCATCCAGTAGCATATTTAGGATTTGGTTCTGTATATGATATAGTAAGTACAGGGTAGTATTTTGCCACACAACCACAGTACTTTTTATTTCTGTCACCTAGGACTGCTGCACAACTAGTTATTAATTATTAAATGCCATGCCATCTGTAGCCTTTACAAGCATGTTTAGCTAAACTCTTATTTCTAAATCCCTGATAAACTCAGCTGGTCAAAGGCCAGCAGTACGGCCTTTTCCTCTAAAAGCAATTACAGTAAGGTAATTAATCAGACCTCAATGGTGGGGGAAGTTTCATTGTAAACAGACTATCTGCTTTTTCGGAGCGCCCTGCTGTCTGTTAGATTAGCTCTAACAGCGTCTTCAAGTTCACAGAGCTGGGGCAAAATGAAAGAGAAGAGAATATAGTTCATTTTGAGGTAGAACAGAAAGGTAGATTTAGAAATTGCAAACATCTGAAAAGGAGAAACACAGCAGAAAGGGAGAAAAAAATAGATTATCAGTAAGAGCATCTAGGTTGGAAGAGATAAGTTCATCTCTCTACCTGCCCTACCTACCTACGTTCCTGATTAAGCAGAGGAAATTGCGTATGATGCTCTGCCTATATCATTTTTTTATTTGACTTTCATTGTATTATCTGAATAACCATTCATCTCCAGTTATAAGTCAGCTTGTACATGAACTAGCACAGCAACTGCCCTGAAATATGATATCCATTATCAGTATAAATAATTGAGAAAGTACAGTGAATTATTTGGCCTGAACAATTACGGTACTAAACTATAAAACTATCTGGTCAAGATATCCAATAGTGCTACTGACATGTAAGGTGTAGAGACCCAGGGAGTTGCCAGACATCCTACAATGCACAGAACAGCTTCCCACAACAAAAAAACTGCCCGTTCAAAATGTCAACAGTGCCAAAGAAACCCTGATAAAAAATTCCATTATGCTACTTATTAGCTGTGACTTTACCCAACACACCTATCCTCTCTAAACCTCAGAGCTTTCTCATCTATAAATGGGGATAATAACAGTACCTATTGGTAAGAAAATTGAATGAAATCATACACTTATAGGCTTAGCACAGTCTTGGTATGTAGTAGGTACTCTAGAAATGTTCTGTATACTATTATAATAGTCACAATAAGTCTAGAATTGATATTTTTGCAGATATTAAAGATTTAGGACTTTATCATTCAAAGTCAACATTTCTAAAGGAAGTCACCATGGAATTACAATCACGAAAATATTTTTGTGTAAAGTTCCTCTTCTTGTCAATTAAACAAAGCAACCCATCTTGGTTGACTGATACCTAATTTGGAATTAAATTAAGAAACACAAACTAATATGTCAATTTTTCAATAAAGCATCAAGACAGAGAATAAGGGCCTACAAATATTAAGTAGACATCAAATCCACTGTGTATTCTTTGCCCACATTGGATTTCAATGCAATTAGGAAACTGACCAGATTTTCCCCCCTTTTAGGAAAACTATTTCTCCATCATAGGACATACCCTTGAAGGAAAATTTCCCCATACCATCTCCCTTCTTCAAATCATGTTCCCGCATTCATTTGAACACTCTCCTTCGGCAGAGAGGTTCTAGAAAATTCTTAACAAATTGGAAGAGAGAAAAATATTTCACAATTGAAAATGCAAGGCATGCTCTGTTTTTTCATTTTATATCAATGTTTAAACTTTGTTTTATTGAATGAATAGAAGACATTTCACTCGTCACGACTTGCAACTTCATAATGTGGATCACTGTGCTTCTAAAATTGAAAGTAAACATATTTCCATATCAAACCAGAAAGGCATATAACCAAAGAGCTTTCATTATTTCTAGACACTACTGTCAGTTTAGATACCATTTCTTCTGAGAAGACTTTCCTAATCTCCTAAAACCAACTTAGATACCTTTTCCAAATTTCCTCCTCTTCCATAGCAGTTGCACTACATTATAACTGATTTTTACTTATCTGGCTTTTCCACTAAACTGTAAGCTTCATGAAAGTAGGGACTGTATCTTCTAATCCCCTGCATTAGCACCATGCTTGGCACACTTGATGTGCCTAATAAGGCTTTTTTTCATGAATACATGAATGAAAAGTCCAAGAAAAGATATGTGCAAAATAATTTTTTCTACAACTCATCGTTTTTTTTAGGCCTTGAGTTTTTGTTGTTGTTGCTGTTTGTTTGTTTTTAACTACTTAGGTTGTATGAGAAAGTAAAATAAAACTGATTAAATAAGTTATAAAAATTTCATTCTCATCCTCTCTTCTTCAGGGACCTCCCAACCTTGCTCCAGAAACTTGTCTCACACCAGAAATTTCCCTTGTGAGTCTAAGGCACAAAGCAAGCTCCCTTTCAGGATATCTGGAGTTGTATTTTAATCCATTCAATACATTTCTGAGCACCTACTAGCATAAAGCTGCTCTTGTAAAAGCTATGCGAAACACAAAGATGAACTAAGATCTGTCGTTTGCCTGCTAGGAAACTGTATTAAAAGACAAAGGAAAATAGTAAGATAAAGGTATAAAGCGTTAACAGGAACGTAACACAGGGGTTATAATTCCAATAGTAGGAATTTATGAAAGGAGGTGGGAATTGGGCTTAACCTTGAAAGAAGGTGCTGCATTGAACTTCAAACAGGTGCTTATATGTGGCAATATTACCTCACCCGCTTTCAAAAGATGCCAGCAAGCTAGGTCAAGGATCAGGTGCAAGAGCTGAAGGAGCTGATTTAACCCAGGGCCTGTCCGTCAACTTTATTAGCAGCAAAAAAATTAGAAATCCTGAATTTTCACTAAGTCCCTAAAGAGTTACAGGACTCGGGGCGATCACAACCAGCCGGACCCATCCCGTCTCTCCAGAGAGTTTTCTTTTGTTTTAGGAGAAACAGGTAACGCACAAATCTACCTCCGGTTTCAGGACAGATTTCTTCTAACAGGTAATCTCTCCATTGTCAAAAGATAAAAAGAGCACTTCAGAGGGGTCGGGAGTGCCTGGGAAGTCGCAAGGCTCTCCCGCGTCCCAAGAAGGAATCCAGTGTTGAGAGCACTCTGGCAGGGATTTGGGGTCGCGAGAACCTGATAGCTCACCTGTTCGTCCTCCTGCATCGAGGCGGCCAGCGGGAGCCCGTCCGCCACTCGGGCGATCATCGTGAGTAAGACCATCTTCACAGGCTACAGGGACCCAACACTGGCCCTCACGGCCGTCGGCGTCCTCCTGACTTCCTCCGCCGCTACACCAGTCACACCTCTCTTAGCGCCCAAAGGACCAGCTGCCTGCGTCTCAGCTTCCCGCTGAGGTGGCCGGAAACGAGTTCCAGAGCTTTCCACTACCGGTCCCCAGAATTGGCTTCCCACCGAGAACCACAACTTCCGGAACATTGGTTCCGCCGTCTCTCCACCTTCAGCAGCTTCCAAGGCCTCGCTCACGTTTCTGGATTTCGAGCTTCGAATAAACCTTGACCCTTGAGGGGGCGTGACACACACACACTGAAACGGGAATTTTCTAGTTCCTGATACTTTAAGTTTGGGGAGAGGGCTGGGTAGGATGGTGGGAGCCAATGGGTACTTAGATGAAGGGTATGTAAAAAAAACCGTAGGGCCGGCCGAGTGGCACCATAGTTAAGAACTGGCTTGGGATGCTAGAGGACCCGGGTTCGGATCCCACATATGAGGGCCAGTGACACTGCCCTCTATAGCTAAAGATGCTGAACAACAGCTCAACCTGGAGCTGGGCTGCCGTGAGTCGCCAGCGACAGCGTAGGCTGCAGCCCCTGTGCCAGTGGGTTGCCATGGGCTACCATGTGTAGCCAGCAGCCAGCGTGTGTAGCCAGCAGCCAGCGTGAGCGGCCAGCAGCCAGCGTGAGCGGCCAGCAGCCGCAGTGAGCGG